TTTTCCCGGGTTCATTCCCATTTTCCCAAGGTTCATTCCCATTTTCCCGAGGTTATTCCCTGTTTTTCCTGTGGTTCATTCCCGTTTTTCCCAAGGTTATTCCCCGTTTTCCCAAGGTTTATTCCCATTTTCCCTGGTTCATTCCCATTTTCCTGAGGTTCATTCCCATTTTCCCTGGTTCATTCCCGTTTTTCCCTGGTTCATTCCCTGTTTTTCCCTGGTTCATTCCCGTTTTTCCCTGGTTCATTCCCTGTATTTCCCTGGTTCATTCCCTGTATTTCCCGAGTTCATTCCCTGTTTTTCCCTGGTTCATTCCCATTTTCCCGAGTTCATTCCCTGTTTTTCCCTGGTTCATTCCCATTTTTCCGAGTTCATTCCCTGTTTTCCCCTGCTTCATTCCCTGTATTTCCCGAGTTCATTCCCTGTTTTCCCCTGGTTCATTCCCTGTATTTCCCGGGTTCATTCCCTGTTTTTCCCTGGTTCATTCCCATTTTTCCGTGTTCATTCCCTGTTTTCCCCTGGTTCATTCCCTGTTTTTCCCGAGTTCATTCCCTGTTTTTCCCGAGCTCATTCCCATTTTCCCGAGTTCATTCCCTGTATTTCCCGAGGTCATTCCCATTTTCCTGAGGTTTATCCCTGTTTTTCCCGTGGTTTATTCCCCATTTTTCCCGAGCTTTATTCCCATTTTCCCCTGGTTCATTCCCTGTATTTCCCGGGTTCATTCCCTGTTTATCCAAGGTTCATTCCCTGTTTTTCCCGAGGTTCATTCCCTGTTTTCCCCTGGTTCATTCCCATTTCCCCTGGTTCATTCCCTGTATTTCCCGGGTTCATTCCCTGTTTTTCCCTGCTTCATTCCCATTTCCCCTGGTTCATTCCCTGTATTTCCCTGGTTCATTCCCTGTTTTTCCCTGGTTCATTCCCTGTTTTTCCCGAGTTTATTCCCATTTTCCCCGAGTTCATTCCCATTTTCCTGAGGTTCATTCCCGTTTTCCCTGGTTCATTCCCGTTTTCCCTGGTTCATTCCCTGTTTTTCCCAAGTTCATTCCCATTTTCCTGATGTTATTCCCATTTTCCCGGGTTCATTCCCATTTTCCCGAGTTCATTCCC